AGTGAGCATGGAGGCTACACAGCAGACGCACACACGCCTGTTTACCTGCACACACAGCTGACGCAGGTGTGCGCTGCTCGCCGGGGTCACGTTTGAGCCTGCAGAGGGTCGCTCTGTGAGATCTGCTTCTAAAATCATTTCTGTGCACAAGCCTGCGAGTGACCGAGCTCCGCCCGCTCTCTTCGGCTGACTGCTGAGGATGAGTCAGCTTTGCCAAACGTGCATGGGGAAAGAGAGGTAGGAGAACACAGAGGAGGGAGCTCTGCAGCATCAAGGAGCAGTTACGATGGGAGGTGCCCGCTCTTTGCAGTCAGTAAAACCTCTCAACACCACCTGCTCACTGGGGATCCATCCAGAGGTCACCGAGAGCCTGCTGGATGTTGGGAGAATCATCCATCTTTGCATGCGTATCATCAGTGAAAGCATTTCTCAGCTGCTGCGCTGCTTCTGATCCTCGTCCAAAAGTTGAAGCTCCGCAGTCCGACTGCACACTGCACGTCTGTTTTGAAAAATCAGCATTTCCTTTGGAGGCATAATGAAATACAAAGTTCTTTAACTGCGTATTCGTCCAGAGCAGACACCCGGACGCTGTGTGGAGCAAGGAGGAAGAGGAGTATTCAGACATAGGCGAGTGCAGCGATGCCCGTCTACATGACAGGGTCACATGACAGAATGAGTCAGAGAGACTTTGTCCAACTGAGGTGTTGTGATCCCAAAGGAAGTTCAGAGTCACTCTGCAGGACCGCCCTCCTGGATGTGGAGAAAGCTGAGGATGAGGTGGTCGGGGGGTGGGTGCGGGTGGCGGGGACAGGTGGGGTCAGATGTGGTCCTCGATGGGGAAAACGAGGCGCGTCCCTCGGCTCAGCAGCTCCTGCTCGCGGGAGTCCAGCTCACGCTCCAGCGCCTCCTCTGATGTGCTGCCGCTCCTTTTCCCATTCGCGCTCCAGCCCGACCCACCGGCAGTGTCCGCTCCACTGCCAGACGCCCCGTTGGCGGTGATGGCGGTGTCCCCGAAGGTGAAGGTCAAGTCTGCGTCGCCACGGATCAGGTCAGAGTCCGGGTCTCTCAGCTGCTCATGGTTCTGAAAACGAAGCCAGAGCAGAACATGAAGGGGAAGAACGGGACCACACGAGAACAGATGTGGGACGCATGTGGCAAGAACACGCATGACCACACGAGCACGCTGACATGAGTGCAAGGGCTCACAGAGGACACAGTGGATCTACACGGGGGAGGGGCAGATTTAGGCTGGATTAACCTCCAACTGTCGCCCTGCTTCTCTGAGCTGCCTCTAATCGGAGAGAAATCACACATCTGCCCCTGCTTCTCAGACTTTCCAGGCCGGAGAACTGAAAGTACACGTATGTGTTTATTTGAGTGAATTTTGTTGGTAATTCGTCTTTGTGACAGTTTTCAGGTACTTCAGTGATATGAATTTTCAAAGGTCTGAGACGCACACAGAGCCGTGAAAACAGGATTTCTCTGTGAAACATCAATGAGCTCAGCGATATCGCTGAAACATTTGGGTCAGCTTCCTGTGAGCATCTAAAGCTCCAAATCACACGCTGCACGGCGCTCGAGTCCGGGTCTGAACTGATTGGCGGATCAATATTTGGCCAGGGGCCCCCCAGGGAGGACAGGATGAGTTAACTCGGGGGTCAGTGCGGGGATTACTCTCACAGAGGGATCCAAGAGAATTACATAACACTTTCTCTGCAGCAGAAATCATGGCAAACGGAGCAAAGCTTTATGTTTTTAGTTGTGAAACTAAGCCACCTTACTTCCTGTTGACTTCCTCTGTGAACACGAGCAATATGTGAACTACAGCTTTGTGAGCCACTTTTGAAATGAAAGTGTTCGTCAGGAGGGTTAGGGTTAGCGGCGCATCGATGCTTTCGCTGCATTTAGCTCCTTTACAGACCGTGAGACATCTGTTGTTCTGAATTACATTTTGAGCCATCGCATTTCATCTGTTTCGTTCCCATCTGTGTTTTATACAATTTATAAACGGAGGAGAAAGCAGACGGGGAGCTTTATTTAATCTCCTGTGCCCACACAGAGTCCTGGATGGGCCTGATTACATGAGCCTGGCAGCCAGCCGCTCGCTGGCAAACAGCAGCAACAAACTGGGAGGGGAAGCGTTTCTGTGAGCAGACTCGGGATAGGAGGCACATTCACATAAATAAATGAAACGAGAAACAGTCAAATTACAGTTCAGATCTCTGAATGCGAGCCAGCTCTGAGGGCTGAACTCCTCTTTGAGCAGGAATCTCTCAGAAAATGAAAAGGGGAATTTGCCAGAGTCCATCCAAGTGTGACCGCGCCTTCAATGGTTGCTTGTGTGGCTGAAATATCTTTCATTACAGTGCTCATCATTGAGGCGGAGCTGAAAAGGCCCTTTGTGCTCGCTGAATGCCAAAAGGCTTTTCCACCGTCCAGTTACTCTGCCGCTGAAGGCCTCGGCTCTTTGTGTGCTGGCTGGCAGGCTCTGAGAGCTTCAGTATTCACAGGAAGCCTTCTTGAGGAGCCGGCTCCCCACTGAGCACAAAGAACGAGAGAAAATGACTCCTAACCACTCACTGTGTCCCAGAACGGCTCGGAAATCTATTTCTGTGGAAAAACATCTCCTAAAGAAGTTTTTCTGTGCTGAAACGCACACACGCAACACCACAATCAGCTGATTTTTCTGTAATATCATGCTGTAAATATTTACAGAGTTACAGGCCCTGAAAGGTCCTGGAAGAACAAAATAGTGGGTTTTTGAACAAGTCTAGATGATTTTTCCAGCATTTCAACGTCATGAATCCAGCAGAGATCTGTTATCTTCAGGGCTGAAAACACTGAATCAGTTTAATAAATAAATGTAGTCCAGAAATATTCACAGTGTAAGTTATTGTGTAGTGAATATAACAGTATGGGCTGGGGGGTATATATGTGTGCTGATCGTTTTTCGGTTTGTCTTTGGGAAATGTGCTGACTGAACTAAAATAAAGGCAGACACTCAAATAAACTGTAAATAAAAAGAAATGACAGAGATGCTAGAATGGTCCGTGAACAGATGAAAATAATGGTGGCATCGTCATGTACTTTATTATTATTATTAATTTATAGAATTCTTTTAATACACTTAAGAAAGAAAGAAAGTGTACTTTATTGATCCCCGTGGGGAAATTCCTCTCTGCATTTAACCCATTCACTCAGTGAAGCAGTGGGCAGCCATTGGAGCAGTGTGTTGGGACGGTACCTTGCTCAGGGGTACCTCAGGGTAGCTGTTCCGATCATGGGGCCACCACTCTACCTACTGAGCTATCCCTGCCCCACAACAAATTAAGGGAGCACTTTTTAATCAGAGTGCAGCATCAAGTCAGTTAAATTCCTGGATATATCAGAGGGGGGTGCAATAGAGGGGCAACAACCCCAAACCAGGAATGGTTTTCAATTTCCCCTCCCCGTCTTTTATGACTGTTTTTCACTAGTCTTGCATTTGGCTAGGGTCAGTGTAACTGCTGGTAGCATGAGGTAACACCTGGACCCTACACAGGCTACAGAGGTCATTCAACTCCTCCACATTAATACGTGCCACTGCCAGCAGGTTTGCTGCGTCTCCCAGCACAGTCTCAAGAACATGGAGGAGAGATGGACAGGGCCGTAGAAGGCCTTGACCCATCAATAGACCGGTATCTGCTCCTCTGTACACGGAGGAAGAGGGCGAGCACTGGAATAGCTACAAAAAGACCTCCAGCTGGTCACACCACGTCTCTGATGAAACAATCAAACACAAACTTCATGGGGGTGGCATATGTCAGTCAGGTTCACGGTGCCTTCTAGTGCACTCACTGCACGGCACCGTGGACCCGACGGACATTTGCCATAGAATGCCAGAACTGGCGTGCCCACCACTGAACTTGAGCTTGTTCTCGGTTATGAAATCAAGTTTTCCTTCAGTTTTTTATGTTAGAAAGCGCTCTGCATCACCCTCAGAGGTGTTCTTCTACACTTCATACAGACTCACTGCTCACTGTGAGTTTGCTGTGTTAGTGTGCACGTGGACACTCACCTCGTACGCCCGGGGGGTGGTCAGACAGCTCGCCAGCGGCCCGCAGTAGCTGGGTAGGGTGGAGGTGAGAGGCGGGCCACTGTGGGTCAGAATGGGCTTCAGGTAACTAAAGGCTTATTAAGGACAAGCAGCTGACTGAGTCTTAAACACTTTAAATGGTAATGATCCACCCACCTGTCAATCCATCCATCCACCTATTCATCCAACCATTCTGCTTATCAATACTTCTGTCCATATGTTGGAGAAAACTAGGATGTATCAGTGGTTATGGCGACTTTAGCTCATCAATGATATTTTTCATCTCTGAATGAATTCTTTCAGGTATTTATGCTAGTCCACACTGCGAGGCACCTTTACTACACTTAAAGGAGATCTTAAAACTGAAGTAATGGGGCTCCTGAGTTACTGACAGACTCATTTTAACCCTAACAGCGAGTGTTAATCTCTAACACCTTGTCAGCTGTGATCACCCTGACTCCAAGTTTTAGAGAAAGTCAAAAATAAAAAAATGTATAAACCTGATAGTTTGAGGTCAGGGTCATCTCCAGTGACTAACAGGTTTAAACCAGTTGAACATAAAACTCTTAGGTTTTTGTCACTTTTGTCACACTCTGGGAAAAGGCCGCTGTGGACGCTGCAGGGAGGGGCAGGCTGCCCATTTATCTCATAGACAAAGCCACTGCGGGGGTTAACTGGAAAACACAGTCAGTCACCGGGGAAACCGTCGCTCAGCAGAGGGGAGAAGCAGGGAGGGACCAGGTGCACGAGGAGCTAAACACCGTTACTGCAGCCTGTTAGCAAGCAGGGGAACAGATTTTATGGGCTTGTTAACCGAGGCGATTCTTTGGACACAGGACAGAACCATCCTGGATGAGACCACAGAGCTCTGAAAGGATACTTGTGATCGAACGTGTACCACAGTCTGAAGAGCCATGCGCTCTCCTGCTTGGTTTTACTTTGTCCTTCAGCCTGAGGCCCATCCTGGACAAACACACACAGATAACACAGCTTTATACTCACGGGAAGAACAGCCTATCAAGATAAAATGCTTCACCTTTTAATTCACTCAGCCGGGCTGAATAAGCGGGCTTTTTTAAAAAAAAAAATACAAACAGAATGTGAGTTAAATATCACGAATAATCATACTTATTGGTAATCTCTGCAGAGACAGACTCAGACTCCATGACAACTGATACATGTAAAAATATTTTCTCACATCAGTGAACCAGCAAAGATATACATTTTTTACTAATCAATCATTTTTTTAAAAATCTGTGTATACTTGGTGATGTTTCTGGTTGCAAAGGTCTGAGGTTTTACGTCATAGTCACTTATATATGAAAATAATCATTCATAGTTCATTGTGAGCCGTGAATAAACTCATGGGTTTGGAAGGAAATAACTCTCACTGATAACCAATAACTCTAATAACTGCACAGAAGCATGTGTGAGTGGTGCTCACCCCCTGCAGGACCTGGAAGCTGTCTGCAGACGGCTGCAGGTCTTGGTCTGGATCAACATCGACTCTGAAACAGAAAAGGACAAAGAAATAGTTAAGAATCATCACAA